ATTTTATACCATTTTCTAAATCCTCAATTAATACTGATAGGACTGATGTGAAGGGTATACAAGAATTTTCATCACCGCTCGAAATAAGAACATTAGGGAAAATTGTTCAAAAAGTCCAAAACCTATTACATTTTTGCTAATTTAGTTATAAACTTTTCAATTTTGCCAATTCAATCCTAAATCTTTCAATTTTGCCAATTTAGTCCTAAACATTTTGTATTTGTGCCAATTCAGTCCATCCGGCAAATTTTGGCCGGCCAATGCTGACGTGACAATTTTTATAATATTATAATATTTTTTTTGAGTTTTTTGTTTTTCTCTTTTTTCTACCCTTCTTCTCTCTGACCGGTCCGGCGACCGGTGAGGTCGACCTCGTTGTCACTGGGTTGGACAACAAGGCCAACCTCACCATTGTTGGGTTCGATGGTGAGGCTAGACCTTACTGTTGCTGGTGGGTGAGGTCGAGCCACACCTAGCTAAAGTCGAGCCTCACCTAACTAAGGCGAGGTTGACCTCGCCCTCATTGTGTTCTCCATTGCCCAGCGATGGTGAGGTCGGCCTCACCTTGGCTCGACCTCGCCCAGCCAGGGACGGACAAGGCCGACGAGGTGGACCCTCACCTCCGGCTAGAGGGAAGAAGGGCAAAAAAAAATAGAAAAAGAAAGAAAAGAAAAAAAAGGAAAAAAATAAAAAATTCGAAAAACAATATTAAAATATTAAAAAAATTACCACGTTAATGTTGGTTGGATGGTCGGCACTGACAGGCATCCATGTTAGCATCGGCCTGTCAAAATTGGCCGGATGGACTGAATTAATATAAATGCAAAAGGCTTAGGACTGAATTGGCAAATTTTAAAGATTTATAATTGAATTGATAAAAATGCAATAGGCTTACGACTTTTTGAACAATTTTCGCAAAAACATTATTTTCATATTAGCATAAGTAAAGATTTCTAGATTACTAGGTCCATATCCTAATTATAAGGGTGATGCCTATATTGAATCCTAGACAAGTAATGGAAAATAGGAATTAATTAAAATGTATTGTTAACAAATTCAACGTGAAACTTAGGGAAAATTATCAATTAGTCCTAAATCTATTGTATGGATGCCAATTTAGTCCCAAACTTTTAAATTTTTTCAATTTAGTCCTAAATCTTTGTGTGAAATTTCAATATAATCATTCCGGTCAATTTTTATCTTCATCGCTGGCCGTCCTACATGGTACAACACTATGTCAGTGATTTCAGATGAAAATTGATAGAAAGAACTGGATTGTAATTTTGCACAAAGGTTTAGAACTAAATTAGTAAAATTGAAAAGTTAGAACTGAATTAACATCTGTACAATAGGTTTAGAGCTGATTGGACAATTTCCGTTAAGTGAATAGAGATCATATGTTTATTAGGCTTATATAAGCCTTGTAGACAAGCAATATATGATATTTCAACATCCTTTTTACGTACAAACACTTTAACAAACATGGTTGATGCACAATGAATTGATGTGTGAAACTTTGGTTAATTAAGTGAGATGTCATGCATAATTTAAATGCAAATCATATCATGATATGGACGCCCGTTTCCTTCAATTTGTGAATATACACATAATATACGAGCACTTAACTGATATGCAATGAAGTGTACCTTGTGTTTTGATATGTTATTGTAGTGTTCCATTAAGATTAACGTTAAAATAAATCTATCTATAAGAACTCAACCGCTTGATTGTTCTTCTTCATGAATATAATTTAAATTACTGTAAAAGGAAACACGAGAGAATTATGGAATCTGTGACAATTATTTCGAATTCGAATTCAAAGGGCAATTAATTAATTACTTGTTAATACTCTTGATTATGATAATTATGATTTTACCTATTTATGGCTGCGTGGTCATATAGTATTTTAAATATGTGTATTGGCTACAAACATAGAGAGAAAGAAAGAACGGGGTGGCCGAATCAACACAACCTGCCGATGAGAGCCGTCGGGATTAACCCAAGCCCAGATGACCCTCATCGTTCTCAGATGAGAGCGACTGCTGCGTCCATCATAGAGAGAGAGAGAGAGAGAGAGAGAGAGAGAGAGAGAGAGAGAGAGAGAGAGAGAGAGAGGCCATGAGGCCCCGAGAGGGGGGTGGTGGTGTTGCGAGCCATACCATGATCTACCCTGATCGATGAGGTTCGATTCTCGTCCAGCTCGAAGGCGAGATGGTCGCACCTCGCCACCGAACCTCACCACCAGGCCCCTCTATCGATTAAAACAGAAAGTTCTATCAAAGTATGACCACTTGAATGATCTGAGTTAAGTCTTCCGAGACTTAATTTGTAGATATCGTCATGAAATGAAATGAACAGATAATGCTGCAGAAAGGAGGGGCCAAGGAGCGTGTTGGTACAGCATATTGAAGAACACAAGACAGACGCCGATCATGAGTCATGAGTGGCAACGCCGGCATGGCACTGCCTTTGGCGGCTCTCTTAACTGTGCTCACCAATTCATACAACCACCCAAGTTATGCTGGTGAAGATATGTCTTTTGACTAAATCGCCTCCTGTCTGGCTTTCAATGGAAAAAGAAAACAAACCTGGAATGCTCTCTCTCTCTCTCACAGAACAAATGAGTGAAATGAACGTACCCTTGTCCAGTTATATATGGAGCACAGTCGGACATACATAACTACATGCAAACCTAATTTATTCTAAGGCTGGCATGCACACATACCTCGATAGTCAACATTCTTTAATGTCCTGTTTGAAGAAATGCCCAGAAGAAGGGGGGTGGGGACTGGGGAGAGAATGATCATTATGCATCTGACACGCATCCTGCGTGATTTCATGCAGATTTTCGGCCCAATTCCCTAAAAAATTCCCAACTTTAACCTTTGTCCCAATTATATCCCAAACTTTTATTATCTCATAAAAAACCCCAAACTTTTACTTTTGTCCCAAATCTACCCCGTTTACTATTCATCCAATTTTTTAATATTATTTTTTATTTTTTCGAATTTTTTCTTTTTTTTTTTGTTTCACTTTCAACCTCCGGCCGGTTGCCGGTCCGGCGATTAGCCAGAGGCGAGGACCGGCGAGGTCGGCCCCGCCGGCAGCTGGCGAGGTCGGCCTTGCCGTTGCTAGGCGAGGTCGACCTCGCCGGCGGCTCGGCCGGCGAGGTCGGCCTCGCCCGGCAATGGCGCGGCCGAGCCTCGCCGGATCTAGCGAGGCTCGGCCCGCCCGGCACTGGCGAGGTCGGCCTCGCCCGGCAACGGCGAGGTTCGGCCTCGGCCGACCTCGCCACCGCCGGCGGGCCGATGGCGAGGTCGGCCTCGCCATTCTTGGGCGAGGCGAGCCTCGCCAGGTGCGGCGACCCGACCCTCGGGAGATCTGGCGAGGTTCGGCCTCGGCCGACCTCGCCAGTGCCGCGGGGGCCGATGGCGAGGTCGGCCTCGCCATTGCTTGGGCGGGTGAGCCTCGCCCAGTGCCCGGCGGGGCGACCCTCACCAGAGATCCGGTGAGGCTCGGCCGTCGCCGCCGGCGAGGTCGGCCTCGCCCGGCAGCTGTCGAGGCCGAGCCTCGCCGGATCTGGCAAGGCTCGGCCCCGCCGGCAGCTGGCGAGGTCTGCCTCGCCCAGCAACGGCGTAGGTTCAAATTTCTGGCCGACCTCGCTTAAAGCAATGGCGAGGCCGACCTCGCCAGTGCCGCGGCGGGGCCGAGCCTCGCCAGATCTCGGCGAGGCTCGGCCCGCCGGCCGTCAGGCCGAGGTCGGCCCTCGCCCGGAAAGAACGGCGAGGCCGAGCCTCGCCGGTGAGCCGGCGGGGCCGACCTCGCCGGCCCTTGCCTCTGGCCGGTCGCCGGATCGGCGACCAGCCGGAGGTTGAAGGTGAAAAAAAAAAGAAAAAAAAAGAACAGAAAAAATAAAAAAATTCGAAAAAAATAAAAAATAATATTAAAAAATTGGATGAATAGTAAATGGGGTAGATTTGGGACAAAAGTAAAAGTTTGGGATTTTTTATTAGACAAAAAAAGGTTTGGGATATATTTGGGACAAAGGCTAAAGTTGGGGGGTTTTTTAGGGAATTGGGCCGCAGATTTTCTTTGAGAAGGTTTTGAAATTGACAGACACGACCCGGGCATTGTCCATCAAATCTTTAACAAATAGAAGCCTCATTGTTCTTGACCTCAATCTCTCAGATGTATAGGTTCTCAGGTCAATGAAACTTGAGTCCAATCCCTTTTTCTCCAAAATCAAGCAAAAGAGAAGTGAAAACTGTGCTTAAAAGCACATCCTCTCCAATCCAGCAGGTTATAATATAAGTCATGCTCATGCTGGGAATTCCTTCAATATATCCAAACTTTTAGCTCAGAAAAAAAAAAAAAAGGAAAAACGATGGGGAGGATCTGAAAGGTCACATGAGAAATGAGTTCGTGCATAAATTATACCAGGTGACAATGACACACGAAGAACAAGCTAAGTCAATGATGCATAGTTTTCAAAATTCAAATGCAAAATATGTAAGTCAGGATTCCTATCTTGCGAACAATGCGATTGGCCTATCACAGCCCAATAGCGATGTAACCAATACATTACTTCTTCTTCTTTTTTTGATGACCCGGACTCCTGCACCGGCCGCACTATAAGAATCCGATCGGCCAGGCACTAATCGGGGGAGAACTAGCCAAACTCACAGATTAACCTCCATGTCAATCAAAAGTGTGATAAGGTGAAGGGCAGAGGGACTCGAACTTGAGATTGGTCACCCACAATCCCAAAGCCCTTACCACTCCACCAACCCCTTGGAGAGTTTGCATTACTTTCTTTTGACAACAAAGAAAGAATACTTTTACGTTGAGTTCGTCCACGTGTAAAAGAAAAGATGGAACAGAGTTAAGATGGGGTGCACCTGCGACAGCATGCTTGCTTCTGTGCCAGTGATGACCAGACACTCCCCTTGAGAGCTATAAATGAACATTGCATTTACGCCCTAACTCCTCCTACCGCTCCTCCGCCTTCTTCTTCCGCAAAAGTCCCGCCCAAAACGCTCCGAAGTTGAAGTAAAATAATGTCCATTCACACAGAGCAAATCGCCAGTCTTGTGAGTACAAATATAGGTACGATACAGTTGCTGCGAGTTAAGCACGTTCGCCATTCATCTTGCATAGATATCTTAAACATCATTCTTCTTCATCTTTCAGCTGTTTCTAAAGCTTGAAGGGTTTCTACCTCTTTCTGGGATTTGCTTTTCGAAGCTCTATTTATGTGTCAGAAGTGACTCGAACATTATGGGTCACCACGGAGCGGAGAAAGAAGCTAGACTCGGCTCGGTCTCTTCAGCTGCTTCTTGTTTCAGATTCGTGGTTGTCTCTACGCTCCTTGGTACCATCTCTCTCTCTCTCTCTCTCTCTCTCTCTCTCTCTCTCTCTCTCTCTCTCTCGCATGAACAGGAGGAATGACATAAACCTAGCTACTGTTTTCTTGAGGCCATTCACGAAGAGAATGTATGATCATGCATGCATGCATGCAAGCAATATATTTTCTTGTTTTGTGGGTGACTCTGAGTTAGATTGTGTACGTTATGGGAATATTTACTTGTCATATATATAAATGATAGCTCGGACTAAGAAGAAACAGGACAATCAACTGCATGTAGTTCCAGAGTTCATGACTGGTTGGAACTTTATATACGTCAACATGACATTGATAGTCATAGACAACTGATTTCCTCGTTCACCTAATAACTAAATAAGTGTTCAGAATATCATAACATAGTAAATAGATGTTCCGGTTCTTCAGATCCCTTTCAGTATTTTCCACTCCGGGCCTATAGATTCTTCAACTACAAGTATCATTCAAATCAGGGCTATCGCTCAATTTATTAAGACATGCGTTTTCGCAAATTAGGATTTTGGGTTGAAACTCGTGCTGATAACATGGAAATGAAAATCTTTAGGCTCGATTGATTTTCAAATCATTTAACACTTTCATAGCGACAAACTGGGGAAAACAGCTTGTTTGTAGTCTCTTCATCACTAGGTTTTAGGCTTTAACTTAGCAGCATTAATTCGAGCATTTTGGAGCTCAAAAAAGCATTTGGCATTGATTTGTTGCAGTATTGGTTTTAATTCATGAAGAAAAGAGAGTTGCTGGTGAGGCAGCCATTAATAAAGGACCTGAGCATTCCAATGGTAAAAGCCCTAGCTCTTCCAGAAAGCTACTTCAGTCAGATGATGGTAAAATGCATCTCTCTCTGTCTCTGTCTGTCTGTCTGTCTCTCTCTCACATTTAATTGATTGTAATGACATGCAAACATTTTCCATTGATGTAATGGAGATGGAGGAGGCATGAACCGGATTGGTTCGTCATGCTCGAAGGACGACATCATGATCTACCAAGGACCGACCTCTCCGATGCCCCAGGGCATCCCGATATTCACCGTCCAGATCCTGAACGCATGCGTCTCTGACTGCACCATCTCTAACATCCATGTCAGCTGTGGCTGGTTCAGTTCTGTCCGCCTCGTCAACCCGAGGGTGTTCCGGCGGGTCGACTACGATGACTGCCTCGTCAATGATGGCAATTCCCTCGGCCCGGGGGAGAGCCTCTCGTTCCAGTACTCCAACAGCTTCCAGTACCCGTTGTCCGTCTCGTCCGCCGAATGCGAGTAATCAATCTGGTCGTAGGATTGGTATCTCGTGCACAACTCGTGTAGATTTAATATAGTAACTTCCGATGTCCCTAAGCTACTGTTAAGAGATCTTTCCTACTTGTCATGCATGTACTTGCATTGTTATACTTGGGATGTTTGAAAGTCCTCAGGAGTGTGGATTGGATTTTAAATATGAATTAACCCCATCTGAAAGAGTTGGTAAGTACTAAAAAAATTTTGGTAAAAAATAGTTACCAGTCACCTGATTTCCCGGTAAATTCAATATTGGTAACTTACTCACACTTCTATAAAATTATGAACTCTTTTTTACGGAATCCAAATTAACAAACTATCTTACCTTAAACCAACTTTCATTTGTCTTTCTTACCAACTCTTAAATGAGTTTATCAATTTTTGTTTGAATGACCTACCCAACTCTTTTCTAAATAAGAATATTAATTCTAGATTACCAACTCTTATTAGTCTTGGGTTTAGCACTAGTTCTAACCCACATTTCTTTGCTCAAAGAATGTCCCAAAGCAGCTAGTCCTTATAACTTTAGCTGCTTCCTTCTTTTCCATTTCTTGAGCTGGTCGTAGAGGTTCTTAGTTCAATGATTTCATTTTTATCAAGCATGAATTGTTTACACCGATACCTACATGACAAGTTTGTAGATAGGCTTTAACGAAAAAATAAAATAATTTTTTTTCCGAGAGGTCACAACCAAGAAAAAAAAGGTTTATGGCACTAAAAACAGAGCAAATAAAAAGAAGGTGCAACTCTGTAGTACTTAGAGTGGAAATTGGACAAAAGAATTTCCAGATTTCCTTGAAGAAATTTGTGTCCGAGAAGAGAACGGGCTGTAACTCTCATTGGCGATTACGAACCGTCACTTAATCGGTTCTCTTTTTATTATGAAATCCTTCTCGATACCTTTAATTTTTTTTCCACATACTCCAGAGGTTGTAGGTGTAATGATCGTTTCTAAATTGCCCTTTTGAACAACCTGAATTCATGTGTGTGAGACTTGTGTCATTTTGCCGACCTTCAATGTGAAAGAGAATGTGAAAATATAGATACATCAGCGCCGCCATATGATAAGTTGAATTAATTATTGAAATAGAAAGGGTAAAAGTCATTAAAAAACTTCAAATTATGTCTATTGTGACATATTTATCCTGAACCTTTTTTTCAATATCAAAAATCTCAAATCATGCCCATAGTTTCACAGTAACACATTTACCCTAAACTTTTCTTATGATACAAAAAACCCCAAACTTATATCTATGTGATATATTTATTTTCCGTTAAGATTTCGTTGGAAGATTTTTCAGATAAAATAATTTCGTTTTTATTTCACTTAAATCAGTGAGCGTCATGTCAACACTACTTGCTTTTTAGCGTTTATATAGATAGATTTTTAATGGTTCTCATTAACAGAACTTTGACAGAGGGTAAATATATCACACATATATAAGTTTGGGAATTTTTGTGTTATAGAAAAAATTTAAGATAAATGTGTCATAGTGAATGTAGGTTAGGGTTTTTAATGGTTTTTTACCCTAATAGGAAACAGAAAAATTTCTGTCTTTTGGGTTGCAATTAATTTAAGACGAGCCAATCCACATGAAGACACTCTTAACCTCACAATTCAAGAAACCACTCAACATTATTGAGGGTCACGTCAAGGCAGTTTTGCATCCATCAAGACGCAACCAACCACGATTGCTTTGTCATCTCATGCACGAAACTGAGTCTTTCCCCTCCTTCGTTCACCACAAGAAGCATTGAATTGCCAATGCGTGCGCGACAAATCACCATCCCAATTAGCTGTACAACTCGAAGTCCTAAGACAGCACTAACTATTTTTATCATTAATTTGACCACCTTAATTGCTTCATGCCTGTAACCCGCTTGTTTTTGTCCTTCACGCATTAAAACCCTCCCTATATAAATGCCTCGCCTGCTCAGACCCGAAAGCTTGCTTTACGAGATCACTTTCTCAGCCCAAAGATCTTTCTCTTTCGAAAGAGAGAGAGAGGGAGAGAAACTAGAGTCCTAGAGAGATGGCCCTGAGGTGGCTTCTCCACTCGGCCTGCCACGTTCTGGGTCACCCCAACCACGACGCCGGCGGCGTGAACCATCACGCGAGCGTCGTGTCCGGCGTGAGCCCAACATGCCGGGATGCTGTCAAGAGCTTGGAGAAGACGTCGAACCCAAAGGAGATGACATGCGGTCCGCCAGGATTCCAGATGCCCCTCCACTATCCGAGGTACAAGAAGGTCGATTACGAGAACATGGAGGAGTGGAGATTGGACATGCTTCTCAGGGAATATGGACTCAGCTTTAATGGCAACCTTGATGAGAAGAGGGCTTATGCAATGGGTGCATTTTTGTGGCCTGACCAGTATTAAGGGTTCCTACATCTTTCTTTGATATAAGCTTCCACCTTATGAAATATCATAAATAACCCTTCTCAGTGATGACTATCAGTCTCTATAATCCATCTAGACCTATTTTAGTTCTACTACTTTGGTTAAACAGTCTTTGATGTGCATGTATATGCACTTTGTAATATCCGCCATAATATAGATATGCTTAATAATGTTTTGATGGTTGCGCATGCATCTCTTTAATGATCGACAAACATCTACTTTAATCTCTAAATGCATGTTTTTAATCCAACACTAGGCAGTAATAAGTATAAGGAATTCGAGGGATAGTTGTCCAAAAAGTCATAAATCCATTGTACGGCAGCCGATTCAGTCATAAACTTTACAATTTGGTCAATTTAGTTCTAAACTTTTTGACGATTTGCCAATGTAATCATTCCAACCAATTTTGGCAAAAAATCGATATCGTGGACACCGGCTGTCCTATGTGACATGGTGTTGGCATCGGCGTTGGATGATTTTTTTAATTTTTTGTTAAATTTTATGATTTTTTTTTCTTTTCATTTTCTTTCATTCTTTTCCTTTTCTTTCCTTTTTCCTATTTCCCTTCATTGGTTGCCCAGGCATCACGGCCCTTGCCCATATCTGGCAAGCGCCAGCAAGGGCGTCTGGTCCTCGACTAAGAAAAAAGAAAAAAAAAGGAAAAGAAAGAAAGGATAAAAAAGAAAAAATTCATAAAATTTGAATAAAATTCGTCCACGTCAGCGTTGGTCATGCCACATAAAATGGTTAGAGTTGACCGGATTGCTACGTCAACAATTTCTAGCCAATTTTGGCTATTGGTTGGAATAACTACATTGGAAAATCGTCAAAAGAATTTAGAGCAAATGAAAAGTTTAAAACCAAATTGATTGTCGTATTATAGTTTAGGACTTTTTCAACAATTTTCCCAGGAATTCGATAAATATATGATGGTTAGAGTGACTATCGATAATTTGGCACTAATTTAAAGTGATCAAGGAAGGACGAACTGACATAGAGGAGAATTACAAGTTTTGTCCCTCGCTCCTGGAAGAGCTTGTAACGCAAGCAAGCGCAAATCAAAACACACCATCCAAGCAGAAAAAAATTCAATCAGGAATCATATAGAGATTAATAAATCATATAAGATTCCTCAATTTCTGTCCTTATAATCTGCCGGATTTGCTGGTTCAGATGTTTTAAGACCATTTGTTCCGTCCCAGGTGGAATGCTAAAATTTATATGACCTTTGTCTAAGCTCTAAGCTAAGATACATGCATGTGCTTGAAGATCCATTTAAATATATATCATAATAACCTCTTTTCAAAGTTTTATCTCTAAGGTTGACACATATGATTTTAAAATTAACAGGAGGCTGATCGTTCTCCTTGCAAAGAACACTTTTCTTGCATTTTTGCTTCCAACTAGGATCTTGTGCTCGCCTCATTCAAAGCACATTCAATATCATGAGTTTTGTTTGACAAAAAAAGATAATGAGTTTCAGTGAAATGTTGCAAATTTTCGACCAAAAAAATGTTTCAAATTAATAAATTATGATAATTTCTACTATTTCCCATAAATCTTCTTGCATTTATGATAATTCCTACAGCTCTTTTAGTGAGTATTAATGAAAGATTTTATTATTTTCTCTGAATATTTATATTGTTAATTACGTATAAAATTTCCATAGAGTAATACATATTAAAAAAATCAACATATTTCTTTTCTTTACATGGTGAATAAGTTTTGTGAAAAGTGGGAGAGATGCATATGGATGATTGAGAAAGCGTACATGGATATGCAGTACTATGATTCTGAAAATTAGTTTGTGATTCATGTACATTAAAGTTTTGAATTTGATATTTTAATTTAGGCAAGTGTATATTTTTTCTTTTCGTGAGAATAAAGCATATTAGGTGATCTAAATTTCGATTGTATTCTTTTATCTCTTTTAGTTACCCAAGTTCAAAGAGGTGATTTTCTTTGTTTTGTTTTTTGTATCAGTTAGTTACATTTTTTTGCATATTTTATTTGATCGAGCACAACTGTATTAGAAAAAATCTGATCAACAAAAGGCTAATGACAAGCCCATATACATCTACAATGAGCTTTAGTTATTGAGTTCCAACATTTGATTTTCTACTTCCCGATTATGTTTTCGTTTTATGTTGGCTAGCTGATATTTGTATTTATGTAAATGTTAATAAGTAATTTTTTTTAATAAAGAGAACGTAATCGACAACTGAACATAAAGCTGCAATTTCTTTTTTGCAGTGGGAAAGTAATTGAGAAGATTTTTTTTATACTTCTTCTATAGTTATGATAAGATAGTATTCTCACTAAATTGTGGTCTTCCAACTATCATTTTGTAACAGCCATACTATAATGGTGTACATGCTTGAATCACAGTAGTTTTGGCGTAAAAATTGATTAGTTTTCACCATTATTTTTTTAATTTGTGTATATGAATATTTAAAAATGAAAAGAGACAATTTTTAATATTTGATTTGCATATTATATCTGTACAAATTGAAATAGTGAAAAATACATATAAATTAATGTCGCTAAAATTTCCGGAATGGATGTAGAGAACGGCAAGCCCAGGTTTAAATTTTAACAGCAAAAGTCGAATTAGGTAGGTATAGAAACCTAAAAAAACAGGGAATGTTTTATTCCTACTGAACAAGATTCTAAGCCCAGGGGACTTGATTACGCTAGATGCGGTCTAACGCCCTTTCGGTACCTTTTCTTTTCAAAATGTTTTGGCGGGCGGTTTAGATCCATTTCAACTTAGTTACTAACATGTGAGGTGTTCATGCGAGTGCAAACCACCAATTTAACACCGAGAAAGCATTAAATAAATTGCAAGTTTGGAAGAATTACTTACCTGGAAGCAACGTAAGCATCTGCATTGTTAGCTAGAAAATCACATTGACACCCTAATATGATTTCTAATTAACAAGCAATTCACTCAATTTCTTTTTTTGGATTTTCACTTATTTAAATGAAATCTAGCCTATATGCAATGACATGCGAAAATGACATGCGATTAATGCAACCTAGCATGCAAACTATATGTCGTGCGACGACGTGACCTATTTCTAATGACAGGACGAATGATTATTTTTGGTATTTTCTCAATTTAAATTCGGAATAATAAAAATGCCTAAATTAACATGCAAACTATGATGACTTAATCTACCCTAGCATGATTTCTTTTAGGATTTTGTTAAAATTCGAAATAATGAATAACCTGAATAATCTATTAAGATTAGAATATTACTTAATTTAAACTAGGAACTAGATCATCTCAAGTCCTAATTTAAATTAAATAACTACTCTATCTTCTAGATACATTTAGGATTCCTAGACATGCAAAAACTCTAATTCAAATCTAATTAATATTTTTGAATTTTCTGTTTATTTGAAAAAGGAAAGCAATTAAAAAAACAAGGATAGCAACCACATTCAAAACGTCCACGGGATCCGCCATATTTGTTTCAAACTCGGATTAGGCACAAAAATCAAACTATCGGTCATATCTATAGGGTTATAGATATCGACGGAAGCCGATTATTCAAATTTGAAAGCGGATAAAAATCATTATCGTACCCAAGTGGTTATGGATATGATAATAATTTTCCGTATCGCCGCGTATCGAACCTTAGGGATAAGGTCGGATAGTCGTCCAGATACGTTGCTAAATTAGGAAGTTTTCCTAATTTTGGGTGTTTAAAAATATTGCGGATATATCGAACATTATCCTAAGATATCCAAATATCCACATGATATTCACGAAATATTCAAACACCCATATTAGGAAATTAAATATTCTGAAAATATCGGATAATGTTGAATTACCTAATTTGCAGATAATTCCCAAATTCAAATCGACTCGGGATCGAGTTTGCGGATCGGGATCGGACTCGGACGACGGGCGACGCGCGTCGCGCGGCGGCTCACGGTGGCGTCCGGCGACGGGCGCGGTGGAGCGCGCGCGGTGGTGGCGGGACCAACGGCGGGTTGCTGCTGGTGCTTGGCTCGGCTTGGAAAGAAGCCGATTTGGTTCAGCGAGCACAGCAAGAACGTCGAGCGCTCGCTGGATCGCTACCGGAAATTCGCTGCTGTGTGGACGTTGCTGTGGTATTCAAAAGAGGACCTCCAGGAGTCGTCCAAATTGATTGAGACACGCCAGACCGGGACTGTGACGGTGCTATAGTGGCTGGCAACGAGCACTAATTCCGCTGGATCGCTATGCTCAACGTCGGAGAGGATGAGCTCGCCGAGAATCTGCAGAAAATCATCTAGAATTACTGGAAACTGCTCGGGATCACTGGCTGCTATCTCTGGGCGCTCGCTGATTGGTGGAGCAGCGTCTCAGACGTGAAGGGCTGAGGAAGGGACAACTCCGGATGTTGGAGGCGCGGAGGTGCCGAGTGGGACGTGATATCATCCGCAGGAAATAAAGCAACAATTGTTCATGAGGTGGAGTCAACACATGGCAGTCAAGGGAGAGCTTCTTTGAATGTGTCCCACGTCTTCTTCTCTGTGGCCGTGCTTCTCCGAATGTGTCCCTCTTCACGATTTTCTTTTCTCTCAATGGTGGCCGTGGATGTCTGTGTTTCCTCTGAAAATTCTCAACCGAAAATTATGAGAGTCCCCCCGATTATGACAGCATAACGACATATTTATATCGCAACCTAGGTTAATTAACCGGGCTTCCTAGTCTTAATGGGCTTAGGCTTGGGCTTAGGTTTAATTTAATTTAAATGGGCTGATTTAACTTGGGCTTTTATTTAATTAAGCATAATGGGCTGAATTAAACTCAAATTAAAACAACCGAGCCCGTTTGACTTGTAATTCCGGCCTTGCCTTCCGAGCGAGCCGAGTCTCGTTCGATGAAATTTTAAGCTCATTCGCCATTTCTTGCTAACTGAGATGCAAAAATGCAATTAAATTAAATGGACCTAAACTATATGTTTATGCAATTTAAATATTTTTTGTTTAGGGGTTAAAATTTAATCCCTACTTTTCTATGCAAATTACACTAAATGATACGCCAAAATTTAGGTGTCAACAAGGCTCCCTCTTTGAAGGTGAGCTCGTGGAGTTGCATTCAAAGACTAAATGATACCTAAATTTCAACCATGCAAATGCAATGAATGTTGTTTTTGTCGGGATTATGAGTCCC